TTTTTTTTTTTTTTTTTTCCCTCCCCTGTGTGCGTAACCCAATAAACGCTACACGGATTCGAAAAGTCTCGCTTACCAAAACGCATGCCATGGTGAAGGCATAAGCATTTTTACACTCACATATATGAACCTAACTAAAAAGGTGCAAAATGGTGAGACTGGCCCTTTGCAGCAGAAGGTTTCTCCTTCTCCACTGAATCATATATGTGATAAGTGTGAAATTGGAAATGGAAAAATTGTTCTACAAGGAAGATCCCGTCTTATGCGTGAGGGAGTAGAAGTGAAGGGAAAACAAACCTGCTCACAAAAATCGGTCCCTTCTGATGATTAATTGTTCATACAAGGCACAGCTAGCACATTTTTCCCCGGCTTGTGAATATATATATTTTTTTCTCTCTTCTATGCAAAGCGGCTGAATATGCCCTGCCGGAAGGGACACAAGGGGGCGGGGGGATAATACATACCCCCCCCTAACCCCCTTTTGGGGGGACACTATTGACGTTCTCATCACTGTAAGGTAAAATTTGGTAGTGGTGTCATTCCGGTGACAACAGAGTTGGGGAGTTCCCCCTGCACGACGCTAAACTAAGGCTACACTGAGTTATATGCACATGTGCGTACACCGCGTAACGTCACATTTGATAAACATTTTTTTTTTTAAATGAACGAATGGTCCACTCTCCATCAGTGCCACTTCCACAAAGGTAGCTTTGCACGGCTTGGAAAATGGGGCAACGTTTTTGTGGAGCACAGGGTGCGTAGGCGCAGCGGGTACTTATCCCTGTGCACAAAAGGTATCGCCTGCGTATGATCCGCATTAATAAACATATGGCTATGCTATAAAAAAGGAAAAAAAAAAAAAAAAAAAAAAGGGAAAAGGAAAAAGGAAAAAGGAAAAAGCAGTACCATCTGTCATCGAAAGCTCACAAAAAAATAGCAAAGCAAAATGAACAATCCTCACTGTTACAACTTCGCCCCCGTTGAAAAACTCCCACACCCCTGTTAACACAGAAAAGCGCATTAAAAGAAGAACAAGCGTGACGGGCTTCCTCCCTAAGGGGTATATGACCAACGCTTAAAGATACGGTCAAACGGCAAGAGCAGAGGAGCATCGATAAGGACATCGGCTCCTTCTCATAATTCACCCGTGCGCGTTCTAGTGATACCCCACTGTTGTTTCCCTTTGTTCTGCTACGCACACACGCACACCCCACTGCAACAAGAAAATGGGCTTTTTCTTTAACTGGCCGTTCAAGAACTCCAGTGAAGAGGCCAAGGGAGGAGCGCCCAAGAAGAAAATCTGCTGCGTCTGCTTGGAAACCAAGAAGCTGCGAGACGAGTGCATCGTCAAACTTGGAGAGGAGCAGTGCAGGAAGTACATTGAGGACCACAATCAGTGTTTGCGGGATGAGGGCTTCGACGTGAAATGAGCGGTTTGTCAGTGCCGCTGCGCTTCAGCAACGGCGGTGGGGGGACACCACCGGAAGAGTCTGTTCTTTCCTCTTTGGACTTGTCCCAACGGAACATTTGTTTCCGGTCTCGCAAATTTGCACACAATTTTTTTTTTTTTATTAACGTGCAATAAAAAATTATGAACAGTTCATAAAAAAAAAAAAAAAAAATACCATATACCAAGTGCCATACAATACATTTTACGCACCTATAACCCTTTGCGCAAATTGGCCCACACGTGGACGCTAAAGAGAGTACGTCTCCTCTACAAGAAAAAACGTCAGGCGAAATCGCTTTTGTGTTTGTACACAGGATAGTAACGCTCACTTACACTCGAACGAAAATGCTCCTGCGCAGCTGCCCAATTGGAAGGTGCCTTCGAGTCTTCCCCCTCACATTGACAAAACATCCCAACGCACTCACGAAGTATGTGGCCTTCCGAAGGGAAGCAAGCAACATGACGTATACTCCGTTCAAGTGCAGCACGATTAGCAGTACAACCCCCGCGCAACAACGAATAAGTAACATGACCTGCACACAAATAGACGTAATGAAACAGATGAAGCGATTTTACAATCCGAGGGAAAATATCAACTGGACTCTGATTCGATTCCGTCATAGAGTGTCACAATTACGAAAAAAAAAATTAAAATATAAAAACCACTCCAAGGTTGCGTTGCGATTTCGCTTAACTCGATTTGGATGGGAAAGATTGCAGTCAGGTCGAAATGCGAGTAAAAGAAATATGTCCATTAAAAAGTACAATGAAAAAATGAAAATAAAATACGTCTCACGGGATGACATCAAGAAGTTCAAGTTCCAAATGCCTAGCTATGTCCTGCGGATACGTGACTCTCCGGTTGATTACAACCCCAACATTATGCGTGCCCGCAAGTTTTTGCCTTCGCACTTCGGTTAGCGGGTGGGCACACATAGGCGCGTGTGCTTGTCTTCCACACGTGCGCCCACAAACAGGATTATTTTACATGTGAACGCTTTAAAACAACGTTGTCGCCACAGTGGCCAGTTTTTCGTTGCACAGCCATCACGTGCATGGAACAAAAAAAAAAAAAATACATATAAAAATTAAAATAAAAAATGAACAAATAAGTAGACACCAAATGGATTCCTTCTCCCCTCAACTGCGAACCGCTTGTTGAGTTCCTCAGACGACCATCTTGTCTTATTTCGTGTGGTCCATTCGTTACGCGTTCTTTCCCGCCTTATCCGTTGAGTAGTCTCCTTGGCCCATCTCTAGCCTATAGTGGGGAATTAACACGGGGAAACGGAGAAAGGGGGTTCGATGTCATGCCGTTCACGGTAGTCCGTACACGTCACTCCGTATGACGCCATAAAGATTGCATTTTTCGCAACACACATGTGCACACATCTACGTGTGGACCAATGGAGGCAGATTCATATGGGCCAAATCAGCCATGATTATTCATCATGTGGTCCCCTCACAAAAGGTAGACCCGCAGCGCTAACACTCTACACATGTATCCTCCCCGTCTGTTGCTCCCATTTTGGCGTACCTCTTCGCGGCTACTTTTTCAAGCCACCACGGCCACATGGTTAGGTTGGGATCTCTAAACTCCGGGATGTTGTACTGACTAAGGGAATGGCAAAAGGGGATACACAGTTATGGTGTGAGGGCAGTTCGCACGGAAAATTGCACAAATGCTAATAGTCGTGCAAATCGAGTTGCCATTTTTGCCATATAAACAAAAAAAACACCTGCACTGTTCAGGCGAATTGTGCCAAATTTTGCACATTTTTTTTTTTTACTATCTAGCTAGCTGATCCAGAACAACGAAAATGCCTACGGTCCCAAAAATGCTCTTTGCAAACCAGTTTTTCTTGAATATTAAATTGTATTTTCCCATTTTGTGATGTTTCTTTGTGTTGTACAAGTTTGGAGAGATTATGATATATGTTTTAATTTCCTTGTTCGGATGTAACTTGGCAATACTAGGTGGAGGGGCGAACGCACAAGCCTCATTCCCATGTGCTCAATGCGGCAAATTCTCCACGCACGGATGCGCACGTACATGCATTCGTACGTCAGTATATATGTACAATGGGAGGACACAAAAACTGTTTGTTGTTTTTAATACAAATGCTCGAAAGAGTCACTCCTTTACACTCATCATGCGTCGACCAATTCACTCCAGGGGTGACCTTTTCAGTGCCAATTTTTTTTTTTTTTTTCAGGGGAAACTGGTTTTTTTGCAAGCATCACGAGGTTAATGCTTTTTTTTTTTTTTTTGTCGCTACACATGTACACGCAGCACATTGCGCAAGATAGCACCGCTGAAGCCGAACAGTTTTCTAACTTTTAAAAAAAAAACATACGAAACAAGTGCACGAAAATGGAGAAGCGCACGGGGAGGGGGAAGGGGAAATAACAAACAAAAAAAAAAGGAATACCACCTTTCGGTGCCCGGAACCACAATTCAACCCCAGTGCATCACACATAACAAATGACCTCATCGAATTGTAAAATGGCTAAACGTGGACGCAGTTACGCCACCGTAAAAGTAAAAACATACAGCTACACACACGTGACGTCTAAGTACACGAATGGTATCTTATCCTTCCGCTTCGTCCTTTGCTTAGCAATTGACAAATCTGTGCGAAAAGAAAAAAAAAAAAAAAAAAAAATTCACAACTCAGGATGCCATAGTCGTCTTCAAGTCATGTACACACTGGAAGGTAAAAAGGAGGAAAGAAGGAAAAAAAATATAACCACTGGGACACATATAACATGAATTGCACATTAAGCATTGTGGCACATGTTTGTCCCTTCACACGTTGGGCAAGTATTTTTGTGCCCCTCCTTTGGGTCTCCTTTTTCATGCCCTACATTTCCAAATATTTTTATTTCATTCGCCTGGGATTCGATCTGCCAAGAAAGGGGTGTGTGGGAAACGCAACGGTGTGGACATACACAGGTGTGTGAGCTATTGTCGTGTGGGTGACGCAGCGGATGCGTCCTTACCAGGGCCAGGATATTCCTCTCCGTATCATCCTCCGTGTTCTTTATTGTGTTCCGTATGGCCTTCAAGTTGTCGTATATTTTCTGCAAGTTGTACTTGTTGTTTGATTTCTGCGCAGAGGGGGTAAGCAAGGGGAAGGAAAGGGGCATTTTTTGTAGAGCATCACGATGGCAATAACACAGTGAACAGATCACATGGAATGACGCTAACAGCGTCGCATTGGTCCAGCCGCCCTCCCTCTTACATATTCCCCGAAGGAGCTGACGTAACTCTTGGTGTTTTCTACCAAGTCTGCATTGTGTTTTCCCTTGAGCAGCTGCACAGGGCGGGGGAAAAAAAAAGAAAAGACAACACGGTAATGATGCAACGAAGTGACCACGCGATGCAACCACTGCCTTGCGCAGAGCCACACAAGGGTATGTCATTTGTCATGCACTTACTGCTAGCAGTTTGATCATCCTGCTCTTGCTGCGTTCCACCTGAACAAAAAAAAAAAAAAAAAAAAAAAATATGACCATGTTCATATGATCTCTTCATCTGAGCAAGACAAAAACCCGCGTCGCGCTCACATTTTTTTTTGCAACAGCCACGCATCAGTACATTGTGAACAACATGTTGAAGCTACGGTTCACTTTGTCCACCCCTCCCTTCTTGTACTTACTTCTTCCTCACTTAACCAGTTTTTATTTTCTGAGGGCGCACTTGCACTTTCATCGGATGCAGATGAACGGGGTGATGAAGAGGAAATGTAAGATGCTTCTCCTTTTGAATTCCTTTCGTCACTTATTTTTTGTTTCCTCTTTGTTGTGCATTCCTTTGTAAGACCATCAAGTTTGGCATATCCCGGTTGAGCATCCCCCTTTTTGTTTCTACATAAATCACTTCCAAGGGGAGTGGCGTCTTCACGTTGATGTTCCTTATCTCCATCGCAGAAGCTAGAGTTTATGTGCTGCAGGTAGGGCAAGTATTGTGCATGGTGGGATGGAAAAAGGGGCACAAAGATTAACTGGGCATGGGACACATTGATCAATGCACTACACTTTTTTTTTTTTTCTCATATATGCTTCTTCCTTACGTCGTTCAGGGTGTGCAGCTGATGCTCGATGACTCGGATCTGCCATGGGGAAAGGAGAAAAAAAAAAAGGGCCCACACTGCATATATAATAAAAGCAACAAAGAGCAGCGGAGAAAAAGACTAATACGAGTTGCACGTATAAATGCACAATTGCCTAATGAGAGAGCAAAGGCTCGATTGGACAGGTTGTACAACCCACCTTTTCGTGAAGCCTGTTGTGGTAGGACTCGCCGGGGTCCTCTTCCAAGTCATCTTCCTTCTTGTCTAGGTTAGTGGGAGGTTTATCCCTGACGGCTTCACTCGCCTTTCCCTTCTCCTTGTTGCTGTTCCTGTGCTTATCTACAATGTCTGTGTGAGAAAAAAAAATAACATAATAAAAAAAGAGGTAACGAAGTGGGGGGGGAACGTGTAACTGTATAATGGCGACTGTTCAACCTGTTGAGGGATTCTCTTGTTCACCTCCGTTTGCTTCTTCCTACTCACCCGTTTTGTGGTGATCCTTAATTGCACCTCCGGAGGGGGCATCACCTTTCGCGTCCTGTCATGAAAGAAAAAAAAAATATATGCACCCAGATACATGTTGAAGCACAGGGGAACACACACCACTTATGCACAAGAACACATCGATGCAGGAACGTATGAACAAACAACTCACGTGATCAAATTGGTAGTGCAGGCTGTTCAAACATAGGGCCAGATTTTTTTTTCGCAAATTTTTTAGCATAATCGAGTGCTTGTGCAGTTCCTCCTCCAGATGGTTGATGTCGTCCTCGAGGATGATCCTCGATGGCTTGCACGAGCTGCAGGGATGGAGGGGGGGAAGGAATTAGTCGAGCGAACGAATAGGACGAATTGAACTGCTCACTCATGGTGCTTTCTCCGCCGCGGCGATTGAGCAATCCTAAAGGACTCGCTATTGAGAAGCGAAGTGGACAAACCAGTTGGGGTTGCTCCTGTCTGCGTCAAATATGTGCGCCTTCACGTCCTTCATTTTTTTTCGCAGCTCGTTTATCTTAACCACGATGTGGTTTATCTGTAGGCAGAGTGGTGAAGAGTTGCATCCGTGCCAATCGTGTTAGTCGTGCGAATCGTGCACATCGTGCACATCGTGCAAATGGTGGCCACGGGGGAAAGGCCTTCCTGAGTTGGCGACCCCTCCTGTGTACACGCAACAACGCCCTAAAGTCGAATACACCATCGCCGACGCAAAAGAGGACATTCCCCTACCTCCTCGAAATTCTCGTTGACTAGCTCCTCCAAGCTGGTCACGTAGAGCAGCTTTTCCTTTGGGGTCTGCGTAGTGAAAAAATGAAGCCGTGAAGAGGGCGAAGCGGTGGAACGAAGTTGTCCTCATGCGACGGCGCAGCATCCCCCCGTCGGGTCTTCTCCCCACACACATATAACGCTTACGTATTCATCCTCCATGAGAAGGAACTTTATGCGATTAAAAAGCTCGTCGATCAGATTCTTCAAATTCAGGTAAAACACGTTTATCGTTTGGTGACCCTGCGGAATGAAGGAGAAGACAGAGTGTCATGTGTCGTTCCTTTTTTTGTGCCATTTTTCTTTTTCAATCTAATTCGGGTTAAAAAAAAAAAAGTTTGCTTAGTAAAAGACACAACACACAGAGATTGGTCGCTGGCCAAATGAGAACAGAAGGGGTGGTGGTGGGGGAAAAACCACACCTACCTCTATTACAATGTTCTTCGTCTGCATGAACACACTGTCGATGGCATCTGTGGAGACATCCCCTCTGCTCAGATTAAACAAAATCTCCCGATTAAGGTCTTTTTTATTTTTGAGCAATTTTATCTCCTGCCTGTACTTTTCATTCTCTTCATTCAGATTTACTATTTGCCTCGCGAGTATCTTCTTAATTCCATTTATGTCGTAGCTGGACAGGATTGCCTTGCCGAGAGTCTTCATTTGAGTTCGAAGCTTTTCATTTTCTTCTTCCAGCTGTGCGTTCACTTGTTCATAATTTATCTTCCGGAAGTTCACCGGGTCGTAGTGCGCCTGCTTGTTCTTGGCGATGACTTCTCGCAGGCGGTTGCACTCGTTCTGCGGGTTGGTGTGACAAGCGATAAGAGGTGTGCACGATAAGAGGTGTGAAGCGGTGTGCAGCGGTGCGACGCGATAAAGTAGTGCACACGCATTGGTTACCTTGTAGAGCCGGGCCAACTCGCTCAAATTCCATTTCTCCGCGTTGATCGTTCGAATCCTGCTGGTCAACCTTCCTATCTTGCCATTCAAAGAGTTAATCTGATCACTCATAGGAGATTCAACACCCATCACATTGCTCGACACATCAGTAGAACACTTATTTACGTAACTCCTCGCATCGTCATTGAACTCCTTGTTGTATGCATCGCCAGCATTGCTGTGTTGCCTTATGAACACTCCACTCTGGTGATTTCCATGTGGCAGGGTAGAAGCAAAGGCTTTTATAACTCGCTGGTCTCCTACCACCCCAGGGATGCAACCACCCTGTGATGGGTAACTATAAGTTATTTCTTGTGTGCACATAGGGGTGGAGGTAGAATGCCTTGAATGGGTTCTCACTGGAACTGATTTCTGCCTACCTAAGGAAAACTTATTTAAGGGGGACACAGACCCTTTGCTGTTCCTTCCACCATCTGATTGACGTTGCAGTGATTTAGTTCGAATGAAGACGTTGCTGCTGAGGGGTAGAGTTGTTGATTTGCTCGGTGAGGAGAGGAGAAAGGGACTTCCTCGTCTGTCCAATGAAGGCTTCATACATCCATTCATCTGATTAACACTCCCCTTCATCGACCCGTTAGGGTAAATTAATATTTCTGTCTTGTGTCCCTCCCACTGTTTCTTACCCTGGAGTTGCTTATTCTTTACTGAGCTGTTGCAGAAGAAGTTTTTTTTGGCGGAGGTTGCTGAGGGGGCGACGTCGCAAGACTGCTTCTTGGGGTGAAGCGATGGTTTGGCTGGACCACCGGTGCTGACACGTATAGATGTGCCAGCCGGGGATTGCTTCATGTCGTAGTTTGCGTAGTGCTTATGAGTACCGTAATTGGGCGGACCGCTATGCTGCACGTGGTTTGCGTAAGTGGGCTGACCCCCATAAGGCGCCATGCTCGCGGAGCCTACCAAGTTAGCCCCACCGAATACGCCCCCCGCGTTAGCCAAGTGGAAGCCTACCTCATCGGGTCGTTGTAGCACACCCGCCATGCCATCAATGCCTCCTCCAACCACGTACCCGTTCCTATCCACAATGAGCGACTCCTGCGCAAGGTAAGGATTCATTCCGCCGTTGAAACTTTCCTGAAGGTACACTCGTTGCGCTTGCGTCGAGTCAACATAACCGCCACCACCACTGTTCTGCCTTCCCTCGTCCACAAAGCAAACGCTCTTGTTACTCACGCTGCGTCTATTTCCTTCCTGTTGCGCGAGTCCCACAAAGTCCTTCCCTTCGCAGGAGCCAGGGATTTGCCCCTCCGTCTCGTACACGTACAAGGTTTGTTCTGTCTGCGGGGTGACATGCTGCGTGACATGCTGAGTGACATGCGGAGCGGTGGTTGCGGCATTAACACTCTGCGCGCCGCCCTCCATTGGACCACTGCCAACGTGGGAGGCTCGCCCCTTTCGCCGGAACACAATACCCTGGTTACCACTGTTCACCGCAGTCCATTTCGCACCATTGGAGAGTTCCCGTTTGTGAGATGCTCCACTCAGTTCGTCCTTCTCACTCCACAAATTCTGTTCACGCATCGCCGAGCTTGAGCGCCCTCTACATTTAGCTTTTTCTTCACCGCTGCGCTTACTCTTATCTTGCCTGTCCGCCTCTTTGCGCTCCTCCTTCACCTTCTCCTGAATTCCCTGGATCAGCGTCCTCGTGAGCTTGTTAAGTATGTGGCTGTCTGTAAGTTTCGTAGTAACCCCTTTCTTTGCGTCTCCCCCTTGCGTGCTTCGTCGTTCTCTCCGCGAGGTGCTCACTCCGTAGGGCTCTCCCATTTGAACATCACATGCTGGTTGAGGCGTTTGCTCTCCCACGTGGTCATCGCACAACAGTTCGGACGTCTCCTCAACCATGTGAGTGCTGCGCCTTCTCCGTTGTGTGTTGTTTTCCTCTTCGCACAATGGAGCTGCAAATTCAGTAGTCGTTCCTTCCACTGCGCTTGCCTCTTCCCCCTTTGCGCCATTTTTTTTAAATTTCAGTGGGCACGAATACGCTTTGCGTATGTCCTTAACGGACGCGCGCGAACTCGTCCTTTTGTCGCTCCATTGGTTTAGCACATCCGCGTTAGCTTCCGTGATGGTTCTCCTGTGGTAGTCGTGCAGGTTGTTCGCGTCTGCTTGGGCCATTTTTTGTATTCACTCATGTAAGCATCGCTCGGAGTAACGCTCACGAGAAGCACTCCCTAGTAACACCCGTGTATGTCACCCGCAAGTGCTGCACACTGCTGCGCCTCCAAAGGGGACACAAAAGAGCAGACAGCTGCGCGCACACAAATGGGCACTCAGCGTGGCCACCTCCCAAGGTGTTGCAACACGCCTGAACAGTCAGGTAAATATTGTTAAAAAAAAAAAAAAAAAAAAAAGAAATCCGCACGATGAGATTTCCTCTGTAGGAAAAACACGGACAATGACTTAGGGTGGTAAAAAAAAA